AAGTTTTATTATCAATTGTATTTTATTATGCGTCAGCGCCTTCATGTAACGAGCGGCAACTGCAGCGGATACATAAGCTGGGTTTTATAAATAATACATGCGGAAATAATATGCCTTTATTCATGTAAATAGAAATGTTGACCTATATACAAACAATGAGCAGGTAATAGTCACAAATATTGTCAATACACATACAAATATTGTCATCACATTGGTCTCTTCAAGATAGATACGAGAAGTTGAAGCGGCACTGACGATTGCAGGGCTAGACTGGTACCGACCTTCACTCAGCCAACTATCTTTGGCTACACTGAAGTGAGTTACGCTAGCGTGTGGAACTGTCCACCGGGCAGCAGTCTAGCTGAGTAAGCCGAGCGTTGTGTAGAAGAACGACTTGAAAATGCTATGTACATGGACTCGTTGCACCATCTATGGGACGCCATAAGTTGCAAAATAATGTCAGGGCATGGCGCCAGATTACAAGATTTTGCACCTCTTTCTTGTGGGTTTTAAGCAAACTCGCAGTGAAATGGGAGGAACTAGAGTTTATTTTGCCATAAGGTAGTGTGATTATGCATGACACGAAGTATTTGCTAGTCTAGTACTGGAGAAATTAGCGTTTGGATGCGCATAGTGCGGCTTTAAATTTTTTCTCCACGAAAAAGACTCTTCAGTACATGTATTTGTAGTTGAATTACATCAAGAGTACATGCAATAAAGATTTAATAATAATAATAAAGCCGGTTCTTTGTGCTGACCTTTCATTTGCTGTGACAGGCAGTAACATTAACAGTGAATAAAAGTAATTACTTAATTATTCCAATCCCTCTCGCGAATGGTAACCGTATCGCCCACGACCAGTCAAGCATGGAAAAACTTGCAGGTAAATGGCCGTATTTCAGCCGACTTTTTCACTCTGCGAGGCACAAAATGTGAATTTACGCCTATAATACCTGCGTGTGCGCGTCCGTTAATATGTTTGTTTGACTATAAAACGCGTATTATAGCCGTATAATCATTTGGGGGGGGGGGAAGTTGAGGCTGAAAACCGGCCATTTGCCTGGCTAACTTTTCACCGTGCAATTAACTGATGCCGTGGGCGATACTATCCGGGAGAGAGGGAGAGAAATACAGAGGAGAAGAGAGTGAGAGGGCAGGAGGAAGCCGAGAGGGACGGAGGGAGGGAAGAATGCAGACGGAGCGGTGCACACGCGCAGACAACCGCACCTATACTATAATATAGCCTATATATACTATATTATACTACGGCACAAACGGCATACACACAGGGACGGCACGGATGCACATATTCCTTCTAATATAGTTACTTCTCTCGCCTTCCCGCTCACCCTCTCCCTCTCCGTGACTCTCACCCCCTCTCTCTCTCACACACACACACACACACAACACTCACTCTCTTTCTCTTCACGCACGCACGCACGCACACACACACACGCGCACCCACATACATACACTCTCTCTGTATCTCTCTCTCTCGCAATTTTTCTCTTTCTCGGGCGCTATATATATACACATGTATATATACTCGCCTTTTCCCGTTTCTTTCCCTTGCTCACTTCCTTACTCCCCTACTAGCAGAAACTCCCCCCCCCCCCGAGGCACAAAATGTGAATTTACGCCTATAATACACGAGCATGCGTGCGTGCGACGTTAGAGCCGTATAATCATATTTTGTAATTTGGGTTTGAAAAAGTTGAGGCTGAAAACCAGCCATTGACCTGAATAAAATTCACCGTGCTAACGAGGTCGTACGCGATATACCATTTGGGAGAGGGGGATCACTTATTCCCGAGAGAATATAACCTGATAGGACATAGATTAAAGTACCATATAAATAGATAAACATATCAGATATGGATAGATAAAAATAGATAGAATACCAGATATTGAATGAAAAGGTATTATTATTGTTTTTTCTTGGTTTTTCGTGATGGTTGATTCTATATGGTACAATATTACTGCTAGGTACTCGGTTACAGCTAATAACTACAAATTCGATGAGATCGCTGAAGCTCCAGATTTATTTAACTACAATTTCTCTTGCAATATGATCAGGAGTCTATCATATAATACATACCATACAAAAGGGTTGAACTCATAGGTCATTTATTTCACATATTAAGTAAATCCTCTCCATAACAATGCAGACCTTTAAAACACGCATCTTTTTATATTATCCGAATCCTCTACACTACTGTTCTACGAATTGCGTTGTCCTTGAGAGCAATGGAATGTGTAGGCCTCATTAAAAATGGGCCCTAAATATTTTTTTACTGTCAGCTGATTTTATTTTCAATCATATTTGGCCATGTGTCTACAATAATTCTTTCAGGTAATCAATTTTTTAGTAGAGACCCGTATTACAAACCTACTCCACGCATAGAAATACAATTGACTCACTCAATACGATCAGTTTCGCTTGTTAATCTATTTCGTATGTGTAGAATGTATACTTTTACATATAATAAAATAACTGATAAATTCATTACAAACAAATGTGAAGATGTTAATACTACTATACATGCAGTGAATGTATATCTAACAGTGAATATATATACGGCTCATCTAAGACATGTCTTTTTACAAGTAAAAAATGGCACGTTATGGATCATTTTCTAAACAGAACACCTCAGAGTTCAAGTATATTTAGCTTTAAAAAATATAGCAGCCAATACTACGCGACATACTTTTTACGTTACATTTGCAGATAACAAACTCAAAGAATGCAATATATGTACATACAAAAACTATGTATAAAGTTGGTTATTTTTAGTGAAAATTCACCTCTGAGCATAATTAATGTTTTTAAACATTACGACGGGAGGTCTACAGAGAAAAGCGATGGTCAACTATGTTAAATATAATATATTAAATTGTACAACTTTTGATCACATTTGTTATAAACGCATAGACCTCGCAGTACATTTATAGGGTAAAAGGAACCGTGACCGTCCATTTAGTATAGTAGCTCTTAATACAGATACGTAGATAATATTAGAAAATAAACCTCCTGTGCTGTAGGGGGCTGTGAATCTGTCTATATATAAATAAAACGTGTGCTTAATAGGTAGACCCGTGCAGTTTCAACAACACGGGAACCTCTTCCACATAAGACTCACGTTACTGCTGGGCTATCTCTATGGTGGCAGGCACGGGTGGGGGTGGGGCGCACAAGTAAAACCAGTGCAAACTGTCAGCAGAAAAATGTACTCGAGGACAATCGGTTACTAAGCGTCATCTCTTCTTCGCTTACTAAATCTCGTTTAAGTTCCTGTGGCTGGTCTTCCTCGGTTTCTTGCGATTCGAAGGAGGCGGCATCAACTGTGACTGAAATCAAGCATTATCAGATCGATCTTGTTAAAAGAGAAAACATTAATCGACTTGCTCAGTCACCTGCAGCAACTAACACTGAGCAAGTCGATCTGAAGCCTTTTCTAAATGAACTCGGTTTGCATTGACATTACCAGGAGTGAATAATAATAGATTTAATGTCTAAATGTCAAATGTTAAAAAAATGTCTATTATTATTCACTCCTGATATTACCGACCTCGATTACATCTCGTCCCCTCATAAAAATGCTGAAAATAATTTAACAATTACTGTAACTCACGGGCACGTACTGCCATATGCGACCAAAACAAGTTGTCAATCAATTTTTTGAGTTGACAAATTTTTTAAAGTTCCAACGTTTCACGTTATTTAACGTTTCACAGAATTCAAAATTACGCATTGAATACGTCATTTTAGTTGGGTAAGTAATACCTTAGTACATACAAAGGAATCGCCAAGCATTACAACAACGATCGCAAGCAGCGCAAACTCAAGCAACCCAAGCGACTTTCACCATTTCCTTGTCAATTATATTATGGGGTGTCATGCAAGATTTCTCAATAGGTCACATTAACTCACGTCAGAAGGATCTCCGTGCCCGCTTACTTCTACGATATCATCTGCTGAACCCCATGCCTTGCCCACAGTTCCCGGGATTATCACTTCCGTGACCTTTCTCATTTTTGTATTAAACGATCCCTTGCGAATGAAGTTAGGGTTGATCTTGGCTGAAATGCACCATGCACAAGACAACACGGACAGATTAACACACACACACACACACTCGAACAACAAGACTCGGTAGGAAAAAAATTAGGAAAAATAAAAATAATACTTATCAACACCGCACAAGCTGACCAAACATTCCACTACCGGCTGTAAAATTTTTTCCCCCAAGCTCAAAATAAATGTTCGGCAAAACGTTGATCTGAGCAGATATTAACATCTATGTGTTTGCCATGCAGACAGCATTACTTTTCACAAACAGCACACAATAACCCCACGCCACAGCAACACTATCACTGAACTATAACGTTGTGATGTTTACCTATCTAACATTGCGTCGACTTACATGCATATACATATATAATATGCTTAGATTATGATAAGATGTGTTGATGAGGATCAATACAGAAATTTATACAACCCTCATATATACTAACGTCTCCGAATTGGAGTGCGTGGCTTCCTAAAGAATTGTGTGCAAGTTCAGTCCTATACTCATAGTGTAACCTTTATTCAGATAGTGCGTTCTAAGATATGGCACCGTTAATCTGTTCTATTTTTACACGTTTTAATTAAAAAAACATGCTGACAGAAATGGGATGTGGCATCGTAAATATTTGTTCAATTATCCCTATTCAAAGATGCAGCTTGCAAAATCAAGTTAAACCAATAACACGTTCTTTGAATGACAATGCACATCTTGTTCAATTTCTTAACACATTTAAAAAAAAACTCATACCACAGTGTCCTCCCATTAGCATGACGTGCATGAACCCCTGTTTGTGGTGCAAATATTACGCATTATGTTAGTCGTGGCATTTTGCAAGCACACTATGTCAGTAGCAATATCACGATATCCTTTACATATAGCAGCATAATCTTCTACAACTGCATAAAGGGTTAACAGCCATATGCTCAGAAAAAATGAAAGGTAACATTCACCAATTAGTTAAAAGAACATGCAGGTACTATTTCAGACTAATGATTGAATAGCACCTCCATACTAATGCTAACCCCTGGCATGCCTTCTGGGAGTGCAAGAACCCTGTTTCTTACCCAAATCTGCATGGCTTTTATAATTTCTCTCCTCTGGAAATTTTTAGAATAAAATATGGAATTACAGAGGGTAGATGAAACATCATATCTTTCTCTGTCACTCAACAATCAAATGCTGTCAGAAAAAAAACAGTATTAGCAACAAACGTCTATTCTGGCTGTTAGGAGAAAGCAGAACCCACTCTTCTAAATATTACCTGAAAAACAAAAGGTAACATTATAGAATAAAAAGACATTTAGATAAATATCTAACTAGAAACCTATACATCCACGTGATTCGCTAATCTTATTACGTATGAAATTTTTATGTTGCAATGCCGTGCTAGATACTGAATGCCAACTTCCCTCATCAAGAAGATGACAGTATATCTGAAAATTCCACCTGAAAATCAATCACGATTTTAAGTTATAAATTCTGCGATATGAGATTAGTTCATGCACATCCTTATACTTTTATATTGTTCACTTTACTTTGATTGGACTCACAGCTTTGTGTGCAACGCAGTGAGTTATGTTGCATGATAGTAGTTATTGTTAAAGGCATGCAAACACAGCTAGTTCTTGGTTAGTCTAGATTCCACGTTAATCCATTCCCAAGACAACAATATTAGTTTGGTATTTGGGCTTTTAGCATTGGATTATGCAACTGGATCTATGACTACGTGTGATACAGTATTTGCATATTAGTACCCAGTCAGTTTTCTTGCCATTAACCAAGTTACCAATGTGACTGTACATCCACTGAAGGCTACTACCAAAGCTTACCAAAATCTGTGATATATTCATCTAAGAGCTGCGTTTCCTCTGTAAGACAACATGTATTGAGAATCATGTCACGATCTAATAATGATGTCTTGCCAAAAGTTGATTTCATATGTGTCAGGTAATAGCCGGTTGCTATACGGTATAGCCGGATGACATCACGTCTGTATTTTTAGCTATATGTTTGCAAATCGTTGCATTATTTCACGCAACATATTGTATAATACAGTGTAATCTCACACAGGTTTTTTTTTATCCTCTTGGTCTCCCGATGAGACATAAGGCAGTAAGATGTTAAACCCCTGACACAAAGTATGCTTGATGGATAATTGTTCGACAAAAACTAATATTTTGTGATGATATTCCAGTGTCAGGTTTAATAATTAATGGCAAGGAACTAACGATTGCTATATTGTCCAGTTTAGACGGCCTCTCAGCTTTTGTAAATAATGAAATACTAACACTCTCATACAGTCAGATATAACTGGTTATAAGCAAATATACATGGGCCATGTGCACATAATTAAGACATGTAGATAATTAATTATGCAGCAGAATAATAATTAAAAAGCCAACAACTGGATGGCTTCATGAGTAAAAATCATTAAGATGTTATTTGCCTTAGATAGTTGCACTGTGTATCACGTACATTTCAAATTGCAAATTTATCAATAATTTTAATTATAAGAAGGTAAAGTACACATGTCATCATATACCAACATAATATGCAAGATGTAATAAAATAAAATGAAGGTTATGAATAATCATAATTGTTATAATACAGGATACCCAAGTAGAGAGCTAATTTCTGCACACTGGAAGACCACACAGCAGTATTAAGCGTTTTGAAATGGATTAAATATTGTTCAATAGTAGTAACTTTTTTATAGTAATTTCTTAATTTGTAATATACTCTTGGAATAATTTTAATGTTTCAATTTCGATAGTGATTTGCCAACTCGATACACTTGGTACACGTGGAAAAGGGGTTAAGTTTATGAATAACAACAATTTTTGTTCCTGCATACTGGCACTAAACAGTCTTCCAGAGCTCAATATTTACACTTATAAACACAACAGTCCCACATCACCAAAGATCATTCTAATAAGTAATTTGCATGTTAGTTAAAGCTGGGGACACAAATACGAGTTTTTGCCAATAAGTTTGTTTGACGTTCTGCAATGTTCTAATTGGCTGAGTGACGCGCATACACAGCCTTAACTCTGATCACTCTCCAGGAGCTCATACGAAATACCAGCAATAACTCGTCTGTGCATCCCTGGCGTTTGGCGAGGGCACAGCATACCAGTAATGCTGTGACTGTTGGTTTAGTAGACCAAAGAGATGTGTTGTACCGCTGACCATGGCTGACCACCAGTCACGACCGCCTAGCTGACAGAAACATTAGCTCATTAGCAAAAAAATACGACTAACAAAAATAAACTTTAGATGCATCTATGCTACTATTGAGGTGACGATCATGTATTATTGTTAAACTGTTTGATGGTCCTGATTATGTTTCGCATTACATCGATTTCAAAATTTGTGTTTTGACATAAAATCGTTACGCATACAATATTACACTTCATACTTCATTTTAGATCGTACATTAAACTTATTTCCTAACAGCTACACGCATGACCGTTACACGATTTTAAATATTGTTCTCTGTCTATAAAGTTTCATAAAATGCCTCCATATAAAATCACGAGTTTAAATTTAAAATTTAAATTTAAATTTAAGACATTCTCACATTTAGACATTTAGTTTCGAAAACAATGTCTACATTCAGTTTTGCATTTCGAACACTAATTCCACACGTTCATCCTCCACCTTCATCCAACAACACACCAATGCCATATTTACCAGGGCCGTAGGCTGTGCAAATTTCTAGGGGGGGGGGCAAAATTTCATGACAACTGTGTAATGATGAACGACGGGCGCAGCTCTTGATCGACGTCCATAGTGTGGTAGGGGTGGGTCTGAGACAAGGCTTTGACGGGTAAGTGACCAAAAAGCTAATGTTAGGATTATTTACGATTATTAGCTAAGCGTACTTTTTAATTTTGCCCCAAAATCTAGGGGGGCAGCTGCCCCCCTTGACCCACAGCCAAAGGGCTACGGCCCTGTACACAGCTTTGAAGTGCTACGCGAATGCTGTTTCCCTCTTTACCATTGGTAGCATATTCCTAAGCATACCTGATACTTAACAGCAAATGTACTCGTGTGCAAGTGCAGCTTTGAAGCAATCCCCCATCCCATCTCAGAGATTGACATGCAGCATGTAGGCCTTCACCAAACACACATACGCCATAACGATTCATAAATAGAAAGTTAGATACCTCATAATTATACAACAAATTAAGTTCAAGTAGATTAAAGTCTCATTATGAATATATGGTATAAAAAAAATCATTAGCTGTTGCTATATTTTAAATCGTCAAGACCCGTAACAAGCTAAATGAATAAATATCTAACAATGTTTAAATTACTACTATGGATATGGTTAAGATGGATACTATATTTGTATATATAAATGTCATTCGGATCTGAAATTATCTCAAACCTTCTTGTCTAACAAGAGTCTTATCACAAGTCCCACTGCCTAGCCTACTAACTGGCCAACTCAAGCTTTCCAACCTACACTGTATTTATATATCGCCCACAGTTATAGTGTGATAGAAAGTAGATGATTAGGGAGGTAATTAGCATACTTTGGTAACTCATGTAGCATGCAGACCCATGTCATCAGAAAACAATTTTTACGAAAATATGTGCTAAATGATGCAAATATGCAACCATAACCAAGTGATGCTTAATGTATTCTTTAATTCATGCACCAATGAGAGAAAGCAGTGAATCAATAGCATGTAGTCGCTTATAATATACGACGATGTGATATTGGTACCGGTACTGCATTCCCACATTGGCAGTTGATGGAGAGAGCACTGTAGGAACTATCAAATTAGCCACACAGTCCTGAGGTAAAGATGCTACAGTCAATTATAGCAAGTTTTAAAAGTATTAATTAATACAATACAAAATCAAAACAGATGAAAATAATATAAAACACAATTACAATCATAACGAAATAAAAATTGAATATGAAGCCATTTTTCAAGCAACAAGTGTCATGCTTTCACATCGTGACCAGACAGACATTCAAGCATCATGCAACAGAGGGCTTTCGGAGGTGGTCACGCTGTGGAGGCAGCTGTGCACCCTCCCTGTTAGTGAGAGTTAGCGGAAAGTCGTGTGTAGTAGAGTCGGGCAGCTTACGGTTGGCGTAGAGCGATGCTAGCGCCCCCTTGTTGCGCAGGTAATGCGTCGCCATCTTGCCACTGTAGTCTCTCATGTGTGGATCAGCCTCTGTAATGAAATAAATCATAAATAATAATAATGATAATGATAATAATATTGTTACGAGATTAATTACTCTGTTACACGTTCGTTCGGACGACGTCGAATTAAGAAGAAAGCCTGCAGTTGATTCACCCTGCATTCTGTTCGGTTGAAAATAACAACCCACAAAATGCAGAATAGGATTGTATGTTATATTACGGAAGTTATATTATTAGTAGTTAGATTATAAAATAGAATAGAATAGAATAAAACTGAATGAAGCGATTGAACAGTAGAATTCTTTCACCCTTTCGTTGAAAACGGCGACCAACAAATCACAGAATAGGATAGCAGAATGTTAAGCGAACGAAGCGACCGAAATCTGCGCGTCTCCTTCTCGTTAAGATAATATATATAACATAGCATATATAATAATTATTTCCGTGATATTCTGCCATGGCTTACTGTACGTGTTGAGCAGCAACTCCAGGCAATCGTTGTGACCTTGGATGGCCGCCAGGTGAACGGGCGTGTATCCCCCGAACGTTCGCTGATTCACGTCGCCACCATACTTCCCAGCAAGCAGCTTCACAACCTCACAGCGCCCTCTTCTGGACGCATGATGAAGCGCTGAGCATGTACAAACACGAACGTTCGTTATTATTATTATTATTATTATTATTGAATATTTACTGCCGTTAACCACAGGGATGTACGGTACCTCTCCTTCCCATCGTAAACGCACGACAATCTAGAATTTGGAGGGCGTTCATAGATAGTCTGTGAATCAGTAGCTAACACAAACTGGGATGGCTAGGGGTACGAAATAAAAATAAATAAATTTTAATAACCTAAAAGATATTAAAGGCGGTGAATGTAAAACCGACCTTGAAATAATTTTATCACCGCGACAAAGATTATGCGTTACTGTTATGCTTCCTTATTTGGCAAAAATTTTCAATTCAAACGTGCGATTTGAATTTTAGGCAGTTTTTTCTTTTTTTCGGTAAATATAAAGCTTAATGGAAATTCCTGACTAACTTTTCTGGCTCATATTGTGCTCAACTTGTGGCAAAAGTTTTGCTTTCTCACTGTTTGTGGAAACTGAGACATATCCAAAATACCATTTATTACATACAATTTTTATGTGGTAACATAATTAGGTGCTGGAAATTTCATTAAATTTTTTGGTAGATATAGATAGAGATCTATTTGGTTGATAGAGATACATCGATTCGATTCGATTCATTCGATTTCCATTCAATAAACGTTTACATTTCATTAAAGCAATACCCGTGCAAAAGGTGGGGAGTAACCTGCGATTGCAGCATCTATACCTGTGTAATTAAAATATAAGATCAATTAAGGTAATATATCCTAGCATCGATACCTGTGTAACCAGACATGAAGTCTCGGAACCTCACGAGTTCTGGATTGTCTCCCAGCATCTTTGACAGCATGGCGTAGTCGGCAGCTGTGGAAGCCAGCATCCACATCTTCTCCTCCTCATCCAGCTGTAAACACAGAAACAACACGTGATCATCTCACAGCATCACAGCGATTCCCACGTCAATTCAAGCTATCCCCTTGCCACAGGGAATTACATATACAGAGTGACATCTATTCACGCATCCATCACTTCTACAAAATACTATTAAACTAAATTTTATTCCTATAAACAAATATACCAAAACATGATTTCCAAAGTGACACTACACTCACTTACTTCCGCCTCCTTGTCACAAAGAATTACATATACACAATTACATACATTCATACATCCATCAACCTCTCCGAAATGCTAGTAAACTAAATCCCACAGGGTCACAGTGATATCTGCATCTTTGTCACAGCGTCACAGTGATATCTGCATCTTTGTCACAGCGTCACAGTTATATCTGCATC